GATTAATCGCGATTAATCTTTTTTTTTTACAAGCATTGGGCCTCATGCAAGAACCATTCGTACGCACAGATTTGTTCTTAAGTTGTGCGTACGAGTGATTTAGGAGAATTTGTGGCATTCACCAATGTTTTCATATTCTACGATTTGATTTAATAAACTTTCTGGTCTTTGTTTATTGAAACACTATTATTTAAACTTTAACTTTTCTTCCTCTCTCTTTGATAGAAATTCAAAATAATCTAAAGAAACATCCAATTCTTCTCCACACTTCTCCTTGTTAGCTGTTGCAACAATGCTCTGTTTACATGCAGACATTCCCCTTTGACATCACTTCCTGTTTCTTCACATGCAATTATCTCTACAACTGTTCATCTCAGCAGCGTGAAATTCATTTTGCAATATTTTATCAATGTTCTCTTTCCAAAAGGTGCTTGTTTTCTCTTTCTCTTTATTTAAATCATTCTTAAAGGAAGAACAAAWGTAGTCATTCATGAAATGGGTATAAATTTATTGCTATCTAAACAATAAGTGTTTGCTCCTATAACTTTTTATCACACATGCTTCTTCTAGGTGTTGTTCCTGTCAGGATATGTGTTTTTGGATCATTTTTAAAAATCTTTTGTGTTTACTGTTTTTATTTTCCCTTTTGGTTATTATGTACGCTTTTCCTGCATTCTGTTCTGGGGTTGGATTTATAAAACTGGCGTACGCACAAAAGGAGCCCAGAAACTTGCGTACGCCACTTTTCACATCAAGGTTGTGATTTATAAAATCCAAACTTGACGTGAAAATGTGCAGTGCCTGTTTTCCTGTATGGCTCCTCCCCCAGTTTACCCACCAGGACACCGAAGGGTCTTGGAGAGGAGACAATGTCTCCCTGTTAGTTTGGAGGTGATGGACCAGACTTACAGCCACCTGGGGTGGCCTGTGTGGCCGAGTCCGGCGTGTCTCCTCCGGGAGACAGGGGCGAGGGCCTTTAGCTCGGCCTCTAGCTGCCTTCCTTCCAGTGGTCGCTCACTTTGTGAAGCCCGGCCTCTGGATCAGCGCAGTAGCTCAAGACGCCTCCAGCAGCCGGTCACCACTGTTACTGGTAGCCGCTCTCTCTTAGGATCTGCACTTCTTACTGTGACCGAGATGATGTTTAGTGACCTGGACAGCAGGTCTCAAGGGAATTGTTATGCTGCGTTCACACCAAACGCGATTTCAGCTTCAAAATCGCATCCAACGCTTCAAGTTGGACGCTTGTGCACTTTGAGGTCAGACGTAGGTCAGCTCTTGAAGCGCTGTACGGCAAGAGCCTCCCCGCCCCTCCCTCCTCTGTCGGGCT